ATAAAGTGATTGAGAGAGTGTCGATTCCACTAAAAGCATTCTTCTAGGTTGCAATCAAGGGCATTTTACTTGGTTCAAGGCACCAAGGGGTGGTCCACATTGACCTCCATGAAGCGGTCGCATTTCATAATTATTTTGAAATAATAATGTTACCTCTCTCATAATTTAAAAGACTCGGACTCAATTTTTGGACTCCGCTAGTTTCAACGCCAGAAAATAGGGGGCAATTGATACGTTACAAAAAAATCACCTTTATTAGGCATAAATCTTAATACATATATGATTTAGAAACTTTCAAAATTAAATTTAGGATCATCTAAATTCCTATTTAAGCAAAATTATAGTCAAATTGAATGTCACAATGAGATAAACCCAACGACACCAAAATTGATCCAGTTCGAGACCAAATGGGCTCAAACTAATGAAAAAAAAGCATATTTGAAAGCTTCATAGCATTAATCAGATAACCAAATTATCTTTAATTATGACATGCATATAGTTGAATTGGGTGGCTTGATGAGACAAATCCAACAAGCTCAAAATTGTTTAATTCTGACATCCTTAAGATATTTAAATGCTGAACAAATATTTTATAATTGAGGGAATCAATACAGGTCATCAGATAGAGCACTCCAAAATTGCACTGGATCTTGTCTATATTTAAGAAGCATTCCACTTTCAATATTTATAAAAAGTCCCTTATTCTCTACATGAGGGGGAGCTTTTGGAGGAGGCTTTGACCTTGGACTAGAGACCAAGAGAGCTTTAAGGCTTAAAGTGTGATACCTCAGAATCTAATTTGGAAGAAGTATTCGTTTATCTTTTAATAAACAACAATAAGAGATACCTAATATCATTGATTAGTAATAAATAGTAAAATATATTTTATTATTTAAAATATCAATGTACATATATGTATTCAATTTCTAAAAATATTATATACAATACTCAGGATCTACACACTCATCATATAACTACTACGTCTTGAGTACAAAAAAATAATAAAAATAAAAAGAAATAGAACCTGAAGAATCCTGACCAGCCTCACACTCCTGCTTCCTTGCCCTAACCTGTAATCATTTAACTACATATAATTAGCTAAAAAGCCCAACATGTTACCAAAATCTATAACTGAATTCCAAGCATAGAAAATGAGCAATATGCATGTCAACAGTTAAATCATAGCAGTTACATTTATATAATCATTGAATCAGTGCATAAATAGTCACATGCAATAGTAATATAATCTATAAATAATAAAACACTATGGTATGAAAGCCAGTAAAGTAAGAAACTGGTATAAGTATCAAATATATAAAGCAATCGTCATATCCATAATACCAATTAGTATATAAATTAGATAAAACATCAAATCTAAACATCAGTAAAGACTATTGAAATCAAACCAATATAGTAAAATCATATATGAAAGTACATATGGTAACTAATTATTCTATATTAAATCAATATATTAATCACATACTTAATATATCATGTATATCACATCCTCAATGAATATACCATACTTTTTATCAATAAATAAGTAACAATGTTAATAATAAATCCATATAGTAATATGAATAATACCTTAATAATATGCATTTAAATATATGAAAGCCAGTAAAGTAAGAAACTGGTATAAGTATCAAATATATAAAGCAATCGTCATATCCATAATACCAATTAGTATATAAATTAGATAAAACATCAAATCTAAACATCAGTAAAGACTATTGAAATCAAACCAATATAGTAAAATCATATATGAAAGTACATATGGTAACTAATTATTCTATATTAAATCAATATATTAATCACATGCTTAATATATCATGTATATCACATGCTCAATGAATATACCATACTTTTTATCAATAAATAAGTAATAATGTTTATAATAAATCCATATAGTAATATGAATAATACCTTAATAATATGCATTTAATTAGTCACACTAAACAAGTAAGAATTTTGGCTATCACGGTATTTTTCAATATTGTATTAGTATCAATATTAGTAAATTGTTGGCTCAGTCAATAAAGTCACACTCTTTGCCCATCGGCACAGTAATCATCTCCTTATAACTCCCAATCAATAGAACATTAGACCAAATCATAGTATTTAAACAAAAGTTAGTCAGCCCACCATTATGTAAAGATCAATATGTCTCCAGCCAAGGGGTCAACAAGTTTTTACTTATCCTTTACAAACACTTTGTTATCACCATACTATAATAATAATCTCAATCACAAATCTACCTTCATTTTCAATGCATTGCAGCAATAATGCATAATTGAGCAAAAAATATCAAAATCTCCTAACCATAGACAACAAAAGTCAAATTGAGCAAAAATTTACATTTTTAGAATTTAACCAAATAACCAAATATTATATAAAATAACATTCTAAGGCTTTAGTTGAATTAAATCACAACTTTAGAAGTCAAAATAAATTTCTTAGTAGGAAGAAATTACTGTATTTTTAAAATCACCCAGCGAAAAAATCTCAAATAAAAACTCAACATTCATAATTTTAATATCTATAAAATATAAAAAGTTACACAGTGAAAGTTTTACCGATATAAAATTATTCGTTTTTCATAAGAGGAACACAAATTTGATCAAAATAATCAAAAATATAAAATTTTTGAAATTAGAAATAGAACAAAGGTTCCTTACAATGAGATGAATAAATTTTCCAACTAGGCCGAATGATAAAAATCGCTCTGCGGCCTCCAAATCTTATATTTTCTTTTCTGTCTCTTTATATTTCTCTCTAAATCTCTGAAATCAAATCTTTGTTGGGCCGAATGAAGAAAATAAATGCTAACAGTTGATTAAAATGTTTTAATTGAAATAATAATTTAATATTCTTAGCATAAAATTCATAAAAATTCTTTTGGTCTTCAAACATTATAGAAAATAATTTATAACATAAATCATTTTATTTAAAAAATAATGGTAAAATTGTTTTACTAAATGGACACCTAACGGTCCTGAAATCCTCACTTGCACCAATAGGTGGGAATTTCTTAATGATTTTCACTAGTGCGCAAAAAATTACAAAAGAAATCATGCAAGTAAAATATTACAATAACAATGTTATGACGAAGATTATTTATGATTTGGAGTTTTATTGACTCTAGAAAAAATATTTACCTGAATCAAAATATGGGTTATAACATGAAGAATCTTGGAGTGCCATTAAGTCACCATCATTGGAAAACCCTCGTCGCCCAACCATCACTACAAGACTTTCACCAGTCAATTGTTGCTCGATTACGATTCTTAGACCACTACCACTCGACTAAGTTCTCTAAGACCTTTGTCGCTTGACTACTATCTCATTAACCATAATCACATGCTGACCATGATCACTCCAACCACCATTATACGATATCTATCCCTTTGACCTTTTTTACCTGACAATGGTCCATTTGATCATGATCCTTATGACCTACATCATCCACAGATTAGGATCTTATTAACCTCAGTCTTCAAATAAAAGTTCCTCAGACCTCCGTTGTCTTACTATGATACCTCAGACCTGCCCGCTTCCCACTACGATCCCTCTAGCGACCATCGCATGACAAAGGTCTCTTTGACCTCTGTCACCCCCCAACTATAATCTTTCTGACCTTTGTCATGCACTTACTATAATCCTTTTGACCATCATTGGCTGACTAAGGCCCCTTTAACTTCAGTCATTCATTGATTATGGTCCATCTGGCCTCTGTTGCTCAATAACTATCCTTTGAACATCAATGGCATGACTATCATCCCTCTGACCTCCATTTCCCAACTATAGTCTCTCTGACCATTGCGCCTGCAAACTACAAGCCCTCTGACCATCATTATTTTACAATGGTCCCTTTGACCTCCATCGCTCGTTGACTACTATCCTCGGACCAACATCACCCTACTAGGATTCTTTCAACCTCAATCGCTCACAAACTAGGATCCTTCTAACTTACATCGTTTCATAATAGTCCCTTCAATCTCCGTTGCTCACTAACTATGATTTCTCCATCCTCCATCGCTCAACTACAATCCATCCAACCTCAGTTGTTTGACTATAGTCCATTCGACCTTAGTCACTCGACTATGATTCTTTCGACATCCATCGCTCGTTGACTATAATTTTAGCAACAAAATAAATAGGTCAACATTCTCTTTAGAACAATTCTTATGTCATTGGATTATTTCAACTCCAATCATGTAATTTTCTCTTTATGGTGCATATTTGTCGCATTGAACCAACACCTTCCCATGAGGAAGGACATCTTTTTCAATCAACAACAAATGGTTGTCGTTTCAATTGAGCAATGCCCCATAATTTTTCCCATTTTTAGGATTTTTCAAGTAAAAATTATGGTCTATTATAATTCCAACACCTCTCTTTCTTATTGAGTGTGTGTTGAAATTTTGTATAAAGTTGGTACTTTAAACTCTATATCTCTTTACATCACGAATATTCTGACACACAACAATAATATAGTGAGATCATTCTATTTTATTTTTTTAGAAGAGAAGTTGATAGAATTGCATATTCTTAATTATACCATCTATTTTTCAATATAATATTAAAAATAGCATGTTAAAAAAAATAAATAGATTAAGCTATTAGGTTTTGAACCATATAGTGGAGAAATTATTCAGTGTGGAATTCGAACTTTGCTATTCATTCGGATGCAAATAAAATTGTGACACGTGGATAGCCTATGTGGCAATTGCCGACATGGATTGATTAGTAGAATTTCGACATGGATTCAACACTTAAACCCTGATGATGGTTAAAAGTGAAAATTGTGGATGAATTCCACATTTCGAGTGGCACCTTTTCAGTTTTCAACATCCGGTTCTCCTTCTCCAAAGCAAAACTCCTTTGAAGTTCCTGCATACTCTTCTTGCACTACAGGAAATTCAGCTATTACCGACAGTTTTTTACAGTTAACCTGGTATTACCGGTGGTTTAAAAAAAAACTGATGGCTTTTTGGCAGTTCCTAAGCTGCCGGAAAAAATGGCGCCGGAAATCGTTGCCGGCGGTGTTTTTCCAGCTATTTTTTTCCCCAATGACTTTCTGGTGGCCTATACTGTCGATTATTACCGGATTTATTACCAACGGCGTTCCGGCCTATACCGTACGGTGTGTTCATCGGTAGTGTGTTCATGGGAGTTCGTCGGCGGCTTTGTAGAGTTTGAGGGCGGCCGGTGTGGGGTCTGCGGCTGGTGACAGGTCGTCGACGGATGTCAAGCCACTTGATTACGTGAGAGGCGGGCGGAGACGACGGGGGAGCTCGGCTGAAGAGAGAGAAGGGAAGAAGAGAAATAAAATGGAAGGCTCAAGATGGTTCATTTTAGGGCTTTTACCATCGGCTTTCCGGCAGCTTACGCCTCCAGTAATAAATTCACTTATTACCGGCGGTTTTAGTCGCCGGAATACCACCGATCATAATAAAGTCTGGCGGTTAATTCGTTGATTTTATGACCGCCGCTAGTTCCGGTGGCATATGCTTGAAGAACCTCCAGTTACCGGCGGCCAAACCACCGGCTAAACTGTCGTTATTACCGGCGATTAAACAACCACCGGTCTAGGCTGTCGGTAGCAGCTGAATTTCCTGTAGTGTTGCAATCTGGCATTCGTCTCTGAAGTTCATGCATTCTCTCTGATGGCATCACCTTCTCCACTTGCAAATAGAAAGGTAATTTTCTTGCGTATTTTATGATCATGTTATGTGTATTTTATGCTCATGATATGCATGTTTTATGCTCTTGTTATACTTATTTCATATTTGATAATTGTATAAATGTTTGATGCTAGTTAAGGTCTTATCATATTTTCATTATTTTTAGGGTTTATATTAAAATCTAAACCCTAACAAACTATTGACAAATAAACTCATTAGATCTTAGAAACAACATAAAATAAAATAAATAAATATTTTATGCTAGTTACACACAAAATAAGCACAAAGAGGCAAAAATTATGCACAAAATACGCATTCAGTACTTTCAATGAGCTTTCACCACTTTTCACTGCATCTCAATACTTTATTTCTTATTTGACCGCTTTTATTGCTTTCATTATATTGGTATACCTGTATCAATACTATTTGATTATGTATTGTATTAATGTTTCATTTATTATTTGTTTGACCAATTTTATTTCTATCTCGACCATCATCTCTATATAGGCTCGTTGACAATTTAAATTTTCGCTTACCTATTATAGAATGCAATTTGTGGCTTCTACTTCATTCCCTCCACCTCATAGATTTTCAAGTGCATGTACTCATATTTAGAAAATATTGAGTGCTTTTTGCATTGTCGTCACTTTACTTGCACTATCATGAATTTATTTTGTATGCCAAATGGTGTCAAGCACTCTCGCTATCATGTAAACATTAGAATCATATAGAGAGTGATTGGTACTATTTTGGCTTACAATATAGTGGTGACAATGCAAGAGGCATTCGATAGTTGTTTAAACTGCTCTTTCTTTGCTCTATCACATCTTTAATTGCGCTGCCGTTGCGCTTTCATAAGAATCAAATACGCCTAAAATGTTGAAATACTACAATCAAGATTGTGATTTTTTATGATAACAAAATATTATTGTTATGATTTTATTATTTTTCTCCTAACATATATTGGATATTTACAGTAATTTATGTGAGTACTAACATTTCAAGAAAATCATATATTTCTCCAGATTGCTGAAGACTTCAAGACAAGGTAGAATAGGATTTCATGTAAAAGAGTGTATATCTTTATTTTTATTTCTTAAGTCTGAACAAGTGCAATTTTAACTGGGTAACCATACACACACACAGGGCGAGAGTGATAAATTTTTTAAAAAAAATTGATTGTATTGTGTGATATATAATTATACTGTACTATTTGAGTTAGTTTTTCTCCAAAATGTGGTTACTCAAACCATGGCTTGATTTTCTTAACTGATCGTACTATATGATATACAGTCATACATATGACTAACAGTGTACAAAATCTGGTTCGTACCAAATTATACCATATGAACTTGATCATTTTTAAACCGTTCGTACTATATAATGTCAAGTCATGCAGATGAACGAATATATATAAAATTTGGTTCATACCAAGTCATACTAAATGATGGATAGTTATCTTGAACTATTCATACTGTACAATATGAAGTCGTATAGATGATTGATAATTTATGAAATTTGATTCGTACCAGATCATACTGTATGATGAACTATTATTTTGAAATATTCATACTATACGTTGTCAAGTCATACAGACGACTAACAGTACATGAAATCAGGTTCGTAAGTGATCGTACCATATACACTTGTTCATTTTTGAACTATTCATACTGTATGATATTAAGTCATATAGATGACCCATAGTGTATGAAACTAAGTTCATCCCAGTTCGTACTAAACGAAGCCATAATTTTTGAATTATTCATACTGGATGACTTCGATCGTACAGTACAAATTGTGGACGGTTTTCTTTAAAAAATCAATTTTTGGACAATTTTTCATGTGTTTTCTATAAATAGAGTCCTAAAATTGTCATACATGTCCTTTTGTTTCAAATTTTCTCTTAAGAGTGACTATTGGGAGTGTGTATGAAAGAGATTTTGAGATTGGAGAGTGAGAGATATAGTGAAAGGGAATTATAAGGAATTCACAAGGTTGGCCAAAGTGAGGATCTCTTTACTCTTCTTCTAATATCTTCCCAACTTATTTGGAATCTCTTGAGAGATCTTCAAGACTGGATCAAGGTTCTCTTCCTTCACTAGGAGGGTGAAAAGGACGTAACAATTCTCTACCTTCATCAGGAGGGTGAAAAAGGATGCTTCATTCTATTCCTTCACCAGGTGAGTAAAAAAGGACGATTAGGTACTTTGCCTTCACTACGTAGGTGAAAAAGGATGAAAAGGTACACTACCATCACTTAGAGAGTGTAAAAGGTGACGGTTCTCTACCACACATGGTTGGTGGAAGAGAGTTTGTAAGGGCTTCTCCACCTTACTGTGGGGGCTAATGGAGAGTCACTAGTGTTTAGTGCAATGCCTGGAGAAAGAGTCTCTAGGGAGTGGATGTAGGCCTAGTTTGATCGAACTACTATAAAATTCAATATTCTTCTATTACCTTTTTTTTTCCTGCATTTTATTTCACTGCTCTTTATATTTTTAGTTGAAAGGTTATCGATGAAAGTCATTTCTATAAACAACTACATATTTCAATATTAGTGTTTTTAATATTTTAAGAAGATTTTAAAAAAAGTTTTCCAAAATCCAAGTTTTTTTTAAATAACCAATTCATCCTATTTGTGAATCTGGTTTCAGGTAATAGAATTTTGATGATAGAAAACTCTTCTATTTTCTATGACTACCTTGCCTACTAACAATTCAGGTCCATAAGATCAAATGGCAATTTGAACCAACTCAAGATTGGGTAGACTAGGTCTGAGTCAGTTTGTAATATTTTCCTTTTCTTAAGCCAATTATAAATGATGTGGTTCCTAATGCTATGTAACCTTGCACACACACACTTGGGAGAAAATTCTGACTATTTTTAGAGTTTTCAGTTTTTACTCACATCATCCAAGATGATCTTAATATCGTCCTAGACAATCTGTTAAAAATAAAAACCCTCATTAGGGAATCCTGGTTAAGGCAACTGTCATTAAGCGTATCATCATAGACGATATTCGTATCGGCCGGGACGATAGGCTCAAATCAGAAAGAATCAGCCGATAGATCTATTTAGGTAGCTTTAATTTTTTGACATCATCCAGGACATTTCTTGGACGATATAATATAATTATACCTAAATTAATACGGTAATTAAGGAAAGCAATTAAGGTTTGATTGCTCTTCGTCCTGGGCAATCGTAGGATTATCTGGGACGATCAGTTCAAAAACCATAGCTGATCCTGGATGATCAAACATCGGCCAGCTTCTATTAAGGGCGATGCTCTGGACAATTTGTATGGATTTGAACTAATCGTCTGGGATGAATATGAGATCGGCATGGACGATCAAGCTATTTTTTCCATTTTCTAGACATCCATTCAGTGTGATTGTCTGGATGATATTCAATGATTTGTACTAATCGTACAGGACGATATCCTATCATCCTGGATGATACAAACAAAAACCTTATGATCGTTCCAAATTGTCCTAGCTGATTGAACTTAATTTGTACTAATCGCACAGGAAGATATTTATATCATCCTGGATGATAAAATCGGTTTGTTATAATTAAGAGCTATTCCGAAGCTCTTCTTTATAAGTTCTCTTGTTTCACCCAAGAGGGCATCTTTTGCTGTTGTTTTGACCTGAGAGAGCTAAGAGGAGAGGGAGAGTAAGGGAGAGAGAGAGAGAGATAGGATCTTGTGAGGGGGAGTTTATAAGCAGTTTCATAAAGGTTGTTACAAGCAAGGATCCATCGTCATCTTCGCCAGTCATCATCCTTAAATCCTTAGGGGTTCTAGAGAGGTATACTTCATCATCTAATCAAGGTTCTCTGCCTGCTTCAAGAGGAAGAAAAAGGAGTTGGGTTCTCTGCCTTCTTCTGGAGGAAGCAAAAGGAATTGGGTTCTCTACCTCACTTAGGTTATTGGAAAGGAGGTTTGTAAAGGCTTCTCTATCTTGCTGTGGGGGAAAAAGGAGAGACACTGAGTTTAGTGCAATACTCGGAGGGCGCCTCCAGGGAGTGGACGTAGGTCGTGTTGACAAAACCACTATAAATTTCTATGTTCTTTATTATTGCTTCCGCATTTAATTTCCACACTTTGATTTTCGTGGTGAATCATGGTTTTGATTTAAGATTGTATTTTCTGTTTGAAGATATTCCCCCCCCCCCCCCTCCTGGTTAGCCTTGGAACTAGTTCATTAGGGCTTAACATCCCTGTCGAACTTTCACATCCATCCTCTTGGTTAGCCTTGTGACAATTCTATAAGGTCTAACAACCTACATGAACTTTCAAGTGGCATCAAAGAAAATTTCAAAAATTAGGGTTTAGACTACTTACTAAAAAATGATCATTGCTACTTTTAGAAACTAAAATACTACTAAAGAATATTCGATCCCTAGACCACCTTTATTTGACAACATTCCTTTTGATTTCTAAAAAACTTGCATGTATACT